AATTACTCTTACAGCTTGTAATTTAATATAGTCTGAAGATGTCTTGAGTTAAGACGAAACGTTACTTAATCTTTAATAAAATTTTTAAATTTAATGGTTTATGGCTCTTTTAAAAGCACTTTGCTGGGCATTAATATTTATTATCAGAAGACATTTGTGGTTCAGAATTGTACACGTTAGTAGTTTCATTTTGTTCAAAACACAATATTTTTTCAAAAATAATTACAAGATAGGTTTGCTATAGAGCAAAACCCGCATTAAAAATGTCAATAAATATCGGGCTGTTGTGATTTTGCTGTTACTCGTAATGAGCGTCATGATGGCGTCATATTGGGGTAAAGGTGGTATATTGTGATTGTCATAATTATCTTCTTAACGAGTTCGGTGACCCCGACTTTTTCGTGTGATTTTACTTTAAGCATATCATAAACTCCATGCCTGGAAAGTTTTAGCACATTATCATTTCGGGAACAATTACCGGGGAATTACCTTAATACCGAATAGACATGAATATCTCTTCTAATGTAATGTATACGCCAAATAGTGTGAATAAATTGAACTTGAACTTACGAATGAATACGGCCAAGTATTTCCTAATGTAAGTATCGTTTTTCCTTGTGCTCCCGCAAGTCAAGAACACATTGATATGTTTGTTTTGTAAGATATTCACTAAACTACTCTATTTTTGGATGTAGTTATTCCAGACACAACTATGTCTCCTACTGCTGGAACTCCTTCCTCCACTAAAGGTACGTATGGCTATAACTACCCAGCATGAGTTCCACCTTTGAATTTACTATTTTTTTATTTTTTTTTTTATTTTACAAGTTTGTCATTGCAATAGATCTATATAAAGTACTATGGTTACAAATGACTGGAATTTCCACACAGAGATAGTTCTCCAATAACGGGGTTCCAAAAAAGAACAACTAGTGGTATATCTAATTATTTTGAAGTTAAAGCAAACATAACAATTAAACACAAATACAAGAAGACAAAGCAAACGTATTGACGAACAAACGAACAAAAACTAAATTTAGCAACATGTTCGAGTTGATAAGTTCATTAGTGGGCGAGTGGTGTGACATTTAATACACACAGACTTAAATATTCTTGGATCTTCAGGGTCATAAATTTGTTGGGTTAATTCTACGTAGTATTTCATTAGATTACATTTAAATGTAGTTAGAGATGTGGTGGTATTTCTTATGAAGCCGGGAAGCGTGTTCCATACATTAGCAGCTCTGATGTAAAAGCTGTTTTGAAAAGAAACAGTTTTACTTTTGGTTACATGAAGTAGGATGCCGTTAGTTGAACTAGTATTCCTTGTTTCTCGTGTAGGGATCTTTATAGATATGTTATTGTCAGAGTTATTTATAAGGCATTTGTGAAGATACACCATATCTAAATACTCATGCCAGTAACATAGAGGGAGGATTTCGATGGCAGCCAATCGTTTCTTATACGGGATAGATGTTTTGTACGGGAGCGAAAGAATAAATTTTGATGCACGCCGCTGCAACCGTTCGATCGTTAGGATGTTGTTGACAGTTTGGGGTGCCCACACTTGACTACTGTAAGCTAGCTGGCTTCGAACGATGGTCAAGTACAGTATCTTTCGAACTCTTTTATCGTGAATGCCGAACGCTGTTCTCTTGACAAAACCCAGCATTTTGTTAGCTTTTGAGGATAAGTCTTGCACGTGCTGGTTCCACTTCATATCTTTGGTGATACTTACGCCAAGATCTTTTACACAGGTTAAAGGTTTGACTGGGATGTCAGCTAATGTGTACTGGTTGATAGTAGGTTGGAGACAACGAGTAAATTGAAGAACTCCGCACTTGGATTTATTTAAATCCATCCTCCAGTCTTGACACCAGTTCGTAATATTGTTAAGATCTGACTGTAGGATTTCTCTGTCTTGGGGGTTACGAACAGCGCGATGACATTTAGTATCATCAGCAAACATTGACACGGCAGTATCTTGGGAGACGCTATCGGGAAGATCGTTTACGTAGATAAGAAAGAGGATTGGTCCAAGAATTGATCCTTGGGGAACGCCGGATAGTACTGGGAGCGGCTGAGATGTAACACCACACAGCAAAAAATCAATCTCTTAAGAAAAATTATTTTCTTAATTTAAGAAAATATTTTCTGAAAATGAGAAATTTATTTCTTAAGAAAAGTTCTTTTCTTAATTTAAGAAAATGTTTTCTCAAAATGAGAAAAGCATTTCTTAAGAAAAAAATTATTCTTAATTTAAGAAAACTGTTTTCCTAAAATGAGAAAATTATTTCTCAAGAAAAATTACTTCTTGATTTAAGATAACTGTTCTCTTAAAATGAGAAAATTATTTCTTAAAAAAATATTTCTTGAATTAAGATTCCGTTTTCTTAAAATAAGAAAATTATTTCTGAAGAAAAATACTTCGTATATAATATAGTTAATTCCACCATGGATTGTAAAACAACTATATTTATTTTATTATCCGTGATTCCACATATAACTGTTTTCTTAAAATGAGAAGTTATTTCCTCTAACTGCATGCATGCTTTATTAAAACGAACCTCGTTTTTCAACATAACTCATAAGACGTTTTCT